ATGAGTAAAGATTTGGTTTTTCAACAAGGTTAAATTTTATAAGCTTGATTTAAAATTTTCTAACTGTTTTACATATTGGAAGCATATATTATATCTTTACTATTAATTTAACTTGCCTAACAGTTTTTGTTTTGTATGTTTTTTTAATGGTGTAAACATGTAGACATTAAGAGCTTGCGATTACATGTTTGGTGATTCATGAATGTTACGTGTTCTTGAAGGTAACTCGGTTATGTTCATGATTGTTTAAAAAACTGCTCCTATTGTGACACTGTTTTGTTTTGTTTTACGTTACACAAAATTTTGTGTCGTAGGTAGGAATTTCTTACATATATATTTATTTTTTTTTCCTCTAAATCTTTTTTTTTTGGGTTTACAGGGGATTGTATATTGGGGAAACGTTCTTGCACTTTACGTGACCAAACCTCATGGCATGGGTTCAAATATAAAAGTGGCATGTACATGTTTGTCTTCCTGATCCTTTACTAAAATACGTTAAATCATTAACTTTTGTAGAAAAATATATAGTTATATTGATTTTATTTTATAATTATTATTTAGGCATCTATTCTCCATCATTTCTGCACCAAGATATGACTATCTAAGTGTGCACATAACAGCCTTAGAAGTTAGGAGATTGGACAACTGAACTTAGGAGCAGGTTCGCAAAGGTAATTTATGTCACTTATTATTTTTCTAATCAAAATTTTCAGATATTTTTCTTTCATGTTAGTTTCCTAAACTAAATTTTAATTTTCTCAATTTGGTTGTAGTCATGCGAGCCACCTCAGTCAGCCGCAAAACCTGAACCAAACAGTCTAATGAAGATGGAAACAAGAGCGGCCGGTGTGAATCCTCACATTGAAAAATCAAGTCTTATAAATGAATACTAGCTAAACTAATAAATACCAATTAAATGCATACTTCTTTGCAGTAGAGAGTATTTTGATTGTGCATGTTATAACAAGTTTTTTGCACATACCAGATTCCCAAAAATTTTCATCAAAGAACCGTATAGAGCAACGTCACAAAATTATCAGAAGTTTAATATATATCTAGGTGTTTTACGTTTTGTTGTAGGTTAATATCGAGCTTTGCGATGACGCTGTCCCTTAACCGTCGAGAACTTTTAACCCCTTTTGACCAGCGTAAAAGGTTTATGTCCCGATACAAGGTCTATCTCTCATTACAAGGTCTCTCTCCTTTCTTTCTCTACATGTAAATACTCTTATATGTTTTCCTTTTCCTTCTATGAAAAGGAGAATGGATATGTGGTGTTTCTGCGATATAAGGTTAGCGGTTAGTTAGTTTAACTATTTGGGAAACTTATGATTTATGGTATTTGGTACAATATTTGTCGATTTCATCGTGTTAGAAATCGTTTCATTAAGGGGTTTGTGATTCAAGGTGGGGGACATAAACTAATGAGAGTTGTTCGTTCGATTAACCATGCATGTTATCACATCGAAACAGTCATGTATATCTTATGATTTAATAATATGCTTGAATATATTTGGTTTCCAATTCTATGTTGTTTTAACTTAACCCTTGCACATGCTATTTATGGCTTAGTGGTTAACTAATATCGTCTTTCTTTTTCTTCAAGTTCAGCGCCAGCATTATGAGAATGAAAACCACATATGATTCATCAAGGTCAGATCAACATCCTCTCTCTATTGTTCATATCAGTCTTGATCTTTATCTCCATCTTTTCTATCCCGGTGCATTTTAATTCAGTGGTAATCCTTTGAAGGACCGAAGATTTTTTTTTGAGTTCGTCTCAGCCCATAGGCTATGAATAGCTTATGATTGGTGTTCGATTATTTGCATGATTATGTTGCTACAAGATGGCTATGTGCACTAGAACTATGTGGCTCTTTCTTTTTTCCTTATCATCATCTAAATATTTGTTTTGTTTTTAAAATGTTTTTATCACAAAGAATAAGAAGAAGAGGATTTTGGTTTCCGAGTAAATGGTTTGAATTTTGATATATATTGGCGTATGATTATCTAATCTTATAAAGCTGACAAAACTTATATCTTT